GGTTCCCGCAGCCCCCAGCGCAGGCGGGCCTGCGGGGCAGGGCCTGTCCTGTCGGTCTGGCGGTTCTGTGGCCTTTCTGGCCCATCCCGCCCTGCCCACCCATCTCCTTCGCCCGCATCTCTGTCTGAGGTCACCAGGTACCAATGTTGCGCATGAACCCTCACGCCCTCGGGGTTGGAAAGTGGGAAAAATAAACCTGTCCCGCATTACAGGGTGATTATCTTCCTCTCCGGCTGTCTCCACCTCTCTCAGCTTCGTTCAGCTGCTCTTGGTTCCAAGCGGGGAGGGGGTGATGGTGAGGAGGTCGGCCGTGGAGGGCACCCACTCTGAACACTGTGTTGCAGAAAGGCTACATCAGCTTCCTCTCGCTCCTCGCTCTCTCATTGCACTTGGTCCTCCAAGAAGCAGGTGCTGCCTTGTCCTTCTTCCTTCCCCACACTCCCTTCCCCCAACAGACAGCGGGCCCTTTGCAGGAAGTGGGTTTGGGCGCCTGGCTGCTGCCTCTCAGCCCTGCTTGTCTCCGGCTTTTCTCCTCAGATCAACAACAAAGCCTGCGGCAAAGTCCCTGTGCCCCAGCACGTGGCCCAGGACCAGGACAAAGTCCACGAGCTCGTCCTGCAGAGCGAGCTGGGCGCCAGGCTCCTGCAGGGGCGCAGCATCAAGAAGGCCTTCCTCTCGCCCAGGACAGCCCTCATCAACTTCCTGGTGCAGGAGTGACCCCACCGGGTCCCCAAAGGACCTCCATCCAGGCCTGGACAATGAAGAAGATGCGGGCCAGGCAGATGGGCATCAGCAGTGTGCCCTGTGGTGTGGCCTGGTGCAGGGTGAGGGTGGGCAAAGGAGAAAGATGAGTGGCGGGGAGGGGGGGGCAGCCTGCCCCCCCGCATTACCTGGTGAAGGAAGCCATTGACCCCATTGAAGCCACCAGAGACGGCCGGGCGGGCACAGGAAGTGATGGGCATAGCACCAGGCCTCTCAAGCAGCCTGGTGCTTCTGGATCCAGAAATGGCACCTCCCAGGGACACCCAAGAACTTGTGGGTAAACCGAGCAGCCCCACGAGGCTCGGGAGCGGCGTGGACAGTCCCTCTGAATGGGTAACAGCCTGGGCATCGTGGTGGGTGGCTCCTCGCTCAGGCCAGATGGGAAAGCCGTGTGGGTCCAAACACCCAGCACGCGGATGGACGCCGGAGTCCTCAGACGTTGCGGTGCCAGTCCCTGTGCCAGCGTCCCCACTGCTCCTCAGCTCCGCCCTGTGGGTGGCATCCTCCCCAGCCCCACTGGATGCGCCCACCACCCGCCGGGCGGAGCACCACTTCCTACCCTGAGTGAGGAGCCGCTGGCTAACCGCCCCCTCGGGGTAGAACATTTGCTGTGCAGCGAGGCGGAACCAAGCCGCTTCCAGCCTCGGCTGGAACCAATCTCAGAGCCACCGCAGCCCCGCAGGGAGTCTGCTCACTGGGCCCCAGATGGCAACGCTGCCTTTGAGACCGTCCCCAGAGCGGGTTCACCACAGAGGATGGACGGGCGCCACCCGGCGTTGCCTCCTGTGTTCGAGCCGCCGCAGTCCGGCTGCTGGGAGGTGGCCAGGAATGCACCTGTGTTGGTGGCGAACTAGGATCATCCTGGCTTTACGTGAAGTCAGCAACTCGGTGCTCCCACCAGAACTGACCGTAGCCACTGATGAATATTGATGGGGAAAGTGGGGGAGCAGCTAGCCATTGTGTGATGCTGAAAATCTTTTTTCTCTGCCATTTTTCCGAAGTGGCCTCCGGGGCGGTCCCCCTGCAGCCCAGCAGTTAACAGATGCCTTTCTTAATGCAATAAAATGTTTGTCATGTATGACTCCGGGACATCTGTGTGATCCTGGAGTTAATCAGGACCAGACTGAGGCTCTCCGTCACCATCAGAGCCTTGGCTGTGAGCCTGACTCCACGTGGAAGCTATAAAGTGAGACGCATGGGGAACAGGCCGCCCATTAGCAGCAGCGATTAAGTCACCGGCTCTCAAACTTGGCTCGGACTGAATACTGTGCCTGGTCCCCATGCCCAGATTCCTGATCGAGCTGACCCTCGGTCCGCTGGGCATCCGGAACCTGGCAGGCTCCACAGGAGAGCCGCCGGGTTCATGGCTGCATTTGAACCAGGGTGTCTAGTCCTTCTCTCCCTCGTGTCCAGCTTCAGTGGGACGTGTTTGGTCCAGAAACGCAGCATGATGGAGTGAGCTGGGAAGATGAGGACAGAAGGGAAGGCAGGGCCACAGCTCCAGGCAGGCATCTAAGACGTTCCCAGAGCGGCCTGAGTGCACACAGCCCGTGCCACGTGCCAGCAAACGCGTATGAAATATAGGAAATGGGTGAGGACATTTGGTATGAGGAGTGAAGGGCGTTTTTGCTTGTCTTGTTCATTCCTCCCGTAAGCCGAGCGGTCTTGACCCCATCAACAAGACGAGGGCAGGGAGCCCGTTGCCTGCACACGGTCTGGCCAGAGCCAGGGCCAGGAAAGCCTCGCGGCTCCTGGATTGACCGGCGCGGCTTTGGAGAACTTTCTCCAAGAGGAGAAAGCTTTGGCTCAGCGGCACTAAGAGATAGAACGGAGAGCTCTCCTCCCTGGGGGTGGGGAGGGGATAGGAAGTGATCTCAGTTCTTTATTAACTGCCTCGATTAGGTCAAAACTGGACTCGACAAGTTCTCCCGCATTATGTCATTTAATTCCCACAAACACCCTGGAGGGAAGGAAGTATCTCTCATAAATATGAAGAAACCCAGGCTCCGAGCTTCAGTAATTTGCTGTTTCCACAGCTAATAAGTAGAAGAGCCAGGATCCAAGCCCACGCCTTCTGGCCTCCAGATCCCCTCCGGGTCCCCTCTGGGCCACCAGTCCCCCCTTGAATCTTGCTTGAAGTACGACAGTTGGGAAAGTTGAGGTGTTGGCCCCCCCTCTGGGCCACCAGTCCCCCCTTGAATCTTGAAGTACGACAGTTGGGAAAGTTGAGGTGTTGGCCTAAAGCAGCATTTCAAGCAGAGTCGCTGGGGCTCCCCTCCTGTGAGGGCCTCGGTTCTGGGAAGCCGGGAAGGCAGGGCCGTGCCCTCGGGACAGGGGCAGGTGTGGGTTCCTTAGGGCTGGAGGTGTTGCCAAACCAGCGGGAGACCCAAGCTCCAGGTCGAGGTCGGCATTATTTCTATCAGAGAAATGAATGAAGCGAGTTTGTGCACAGGGAGAGCGGTGCCGGGGAAGCCCCACAGCAGATGGCACCACAGCTGTCTGCCCAGGAGAATGAAATGATCCCTGAGACCTAAAAGCAGCACAGGCATGCCTCATCCCAACCTAAATGCACACCTGAGGACACTGGGTAAGAAAAACGGTGTGTGTGTGTGTGAATCCTCACCCAAGGACATGCTTAGAGAGAGGAAGGGAGATTGAGAGAGAGAAACATCGATCGGTTGCCCTCTGTATGTGCCTGACCGGGGATTGAACCTGCTACCCAGGTATGTGCCCTGACTGGGAATCAACTGGCAACCTTTTGGTTCAACCAACTAAGTCACTCTAGCTGGGCAGGGTGGTTTTTAAAAAAATGTAATATGGAAATTTGCTCATGAATGAAGCAGTATACGTATAAATGCAATTCCAACCATCACTTTTTAATTCTGACCTTTACAAAGAGAGAAGGAAATTTTCCCAGAGATCACCGGTTGAGTCCTACAAGTTATCTTTTCCCTCTGTTTACTTTTTGGCCTCTTCAAATTTTTTTGGCCGTGTACTAGTTCAGTAATGGGAGGGAAACATCAAAATGTACAATTTTGTGAAGCTCCAAATGAGCTAAAGACTTGTCCCCTTAGGTCTTTTTCCTCCCCGTCAGGGCATCTGGCTGCCATGGAGACGAGCCCCCATCAGGAAAAGATGCTCCTTCTCTTGTGGAAAGTGGAAGCCAAAGCAGCCGACACCAGCCCATGAAGCTCCTGTTCGCAGTCGCTCGGCCTGGGCAGGTGTGGGGAGCTCCCCCTCACCTCTGAGCCTGAGGATCTTGCAACCTGAGGACAGAACAGAAGACAACATTCCCTTCATGAGACTCCCCTGTTCTTGGTGGACAAAGCAATACGTGGGCAAGGGCTCGAGCTCTGCACTCAGCCAGACCTGGGCTCTGTGACCCAGTGGCTCAGTCACTGAAAACCTCGTGGCCGAGGCAAGCCAGGGAACCTCTCTGAACCTCGATTCCTTCACTGTAAACAGGAGTAACAATAATGCCCAGGGTGTGAGGATAAAGTGAGATAACGTGTGTACAGTAAAGCGCATGGCGCAGGCTCTCGGTAAATGGAAACGGCTTATGAATGATTGATCTTGCCTGAAGAAGAATAGGCTGATGTTTATTAAATTTGGTTGAAAAGAAGAGAAAGTTCCCGGCTGGTGTTGCTCAGTGGATTGAACATCGCCCATGGACTAAGACAAGCATATAGAATGCACAAGCTGCGGGCCGCATGCCTTGGAGACGTGCGCCCCCCACCCCCCACCCCCCGAGTGAATTTGACATGCTTGGACTAAGAGGTCCTGGGTTCAGGGCACATACCTGGGTTGCTGGCTTGATCCCCAGTAGGGGTGTGCAGGAGGCAGCCAATCGATGTGTCTCTCTCATCAATGTTTCTCCCTTCCTCTCTATCTAAAAATCAATAAAAACATTTAAAAAGAAAGAAAGAAAGAAAGAAAGAAAGAAAGAAAGAAAGGGGAGGGAGGGAAGAAAGAAGGGAGGAAGGAAGGAAAGGGAAAGTTTAGGAGAAGATGCGTCCCAGGTGCAGATAGGACCCAGGCCTGTGGAGGAAAAAGAGAACCTGAACTTGGAGGCTTTGGGCCCATTGGCAGGACCTGCCTGGTGATACGGTGCTGGAGGGAGTCTGAACAAGCTGACTGCCTCCGGCTGCCCTCCCGTGGCTGTGGCTCGGGGCTGTGCCGTGGGATTCCAGGTGACGGATCCGACCAAACCAGAAGGCCCCTCCACAAATGACAAAACTGGCTCGTAGAGCCTGTAACTCGCTTGAGAAGAGATGACATTTCTTGCCCCCCCCCAATCTGCTCATTTCATGCAGACCCCCCTCCCCCCGCTTTTAGAAAACCCGGAGGTCCTGCCAGCAATATGGGGGGGGGGGGGGCTTTGCTGCATTGTGAGCCCCCTGATGAGGGGGGTTTGCTCTCCCTTCCTCCTGTGAGAGGAACAAGCAGAACATCTGCTTCTGGGGCTGGGTCCCTGTCTGACGCCCAGAGGGTGGGCGGCTGGAGGCTCTCGTCCAAGCTGATGAGTCTGAAGACCGGAATCTGGGGTGACCAACAGTGAGCAAAGGGCAGTCTCCCCAGGGTGCTGGCCGGGAGGGAGAGCCTGGAGCGTCCAGGAAAGGCCAATCCTGTGGGCAGAGGCTCCGATCCAAGGGTGGGCCGAGGATTGTGCAGAAGGGTTGACCCCACTCCAGGCCTCATCAGTCTCCGCCTGCCCACGTGTGGGAGGGGCACAGGGGAGGTGGTAGCCCGGCGGCTGCAGTCATGGCCTGGACACCAGCACTCGTGACTCACTCCCCTGCGCCTCAGCCCTGAACTTGAATTGCAGTCCTTGCCTGACCTCTGAAGGGCATGCCCTCGCCCCCACCCAGCATGCCGGAGCCACGGGCGTGATCCCCGATATCAGCAGCTGGAATGGTTACCATGTCTGGAGGACCCATGGGTGCCAATGCCTGTTCTAAGTGTTTACCATAGAAGGGGCCTTGCTCAAGTCCACACTCGAAAAGGTGACAGAGCCAAGATTCTCTGCATTGCTCCCCAAGGCCGTTATGCCAGCCAGCCCTCGAACCTCCTGCGTTCTCCAAGGCAGCCCCCATTTCTGACCTTTCCTCTCGGCGTCCCCAAACACCCTGCCAAGCTCCCCCTTCCTGCTCTGTGGCGGGGAGACGCTCGCTGGGGGTGCACACCTGGGGGAGCACCGCCCCCTGTTCCGAGGCACCCAGCTCAGCCCGGGTCTGGGGAGAGGACTGGGCTCTCTGGGAGCCTGGGACAGACCACTCCCCAAAGCCATCACCTCTGACAGACAGATATACAGAGCCTCCTTTGGGTCCCCTCAGTGAGATCTAGAAAGTCAGGGGGTCACCTTTACTCAACCCCACATACCTCGCGGAGCATCCCGTGGAAGGGGGAGTGGGGAGACCTGCCCGGGCTGTGGCCACAGTGGCAGCAGCTGGCCTCACAGCAGCCTGGGCAGTGTCCTCCCAGATCATTCCACACAGGACAGGAGAGCCTCATCTGGAGGCGGTGAGGGGTGGTCCCACCCACCGGAGACCACACCGCCACGCCTGCTGCAGCTGCAACCTCATAGGCTGCCCTCTGAGCCAGGAGAGCCAGGCCTGGGCCCCTCTTCTTCAGACACAGGTGAGGGCTGTGCGCAGTGGGTGTCATGGACACTGTGGGGTCAGTAGGGGAGGTGGGGCTGCCTAGTGGGTGATGTCCTTCACTGGGTCTGGCATGTCATTCATCAGGGAAAAGGCCTGTCCCTTCCACTGGAAATGGGGTAGCAGTTAGACAGACATAAGCAGAGCAAGGACGATGGGCCAGGTGCAGAAGGTCACCAGGGCAGAATGTCCCGGCCACCGGCAATGGAAGAAACGCAGAGCAAGCATTGGAGATAAGTTTGTTCATCAGAACCTCACCCTGGGGACCCCTCTCCACCCTAGAACGCCTCCGGCCATGCAGGTGGGATTCTCCTGACCTTTTCTCCCCTGGTACATGGTGAAGCCATGTGGTAGGCCCCCACCCCTAGAGGAAAACAAGGGGGCCGGAGGAAGCCCCATCTAACTTCCAGGCAAGGACAGAAGATGACCGGACAGGCCCTGATAAGTCAGCTGGAAGAGGAAAGCATTTAACCCCCGTTCCGAGGGGCTAAAAGGAGCCCTAGCCCACACCCAGGGCATCTTGAAATTCCTCTCCGGGTGTACTTTCTCTTTGCTTGCCCAATAAATCTCTAGCGAGTCTGAGTCTTGGCTCTGAATTCTTTTCTCAGCCAGAACTCAAGAACTGAGGTTGCTGAACCCAGGTCTCATCTGACCCCACAGGTCAGACACCTGGTGATGGGAAGAGGCCAGGGCAGGCCAGAGTGGCTTTGTCAGGTGGTCCCCAGAGGGGCTCGCTGTCAGTGGGCAGGACACAGGGCAGCCGCTGACCAGGAACAGGCTGAGAGAAATAGCTGAGAAGAGGGAACCTAGGCCAATGTCACCTAATAGCTCCATTATCTGTTGTCAACCTCCTAGTCATTAACATCTTAGTTTCTAAAAAAATAGCTTAGTTTTCTATTAATATATTAATTGACTACTATTATGGACTAAATGTTTGTGTCTCCCCTACAATTCATATGTTGAAACCTTACTCCCCAATGAATGGTGTTAGGAGGTGGGGCTTTGGGAGGTGATTAGGATTAGATGAGGTCATATGGGTGGGGCCCTCGTGAATGGGGTCAGTGCCCTTATCCGTGTCACAAGTTTGCTTCCTCTCCGGTGAGGACACCGGAGGCCAGTGGTCTGCATGACCGGGCTCTCACCAGAACCCGACCCTACTGGCACCTGATGTCAGATTTCCAGCCTCCAGAACCATGAGAAATAAATGCCTGTTGTTGGTGAGCCACCCGATCTATGGCGCTTTGTAACAGCAGCCTAAACTGAGACAGCCACTAGCATCCTAGTCAGCAGCAAACCCATAGGTTCCCCTTAGTGAAGGCAGTAGACTTCTTAGTTCTCAGCCCCTTCATCATTACCTGCAACATCTTAATCCACACCTACACCTTTGTGGGCTGCTTGATTGTCTGCCTATCATCTTTAGCAAGAAAAAAATTTAAATTATCAACATAAAACCCCCTAAACCTCCCTGTTCTCATACCGCTGGCTTTATTTCTCATTCCCATAGTCTGCTCCTCTGGAGGAGGGAGCAGGGGAGGGAGTTCTGTTCCACTCGGGCCCAGACCCAGGCAGGGGCTAGGATGATGGAGGCTCCACCATCTTTAGCTCTTGCCCTGGACATTGACACCCAGCTTGCAGACCTGGGGGGTGGGGTGCGGGGAGGAGAGATGGACGTTCATAAGGAGGTGTTTATGAGTCAGGTCTGGAAGAGGTCTGTGAAGGGGTTCAAAGCAGGCCTCCCCAAGATGGGCTACTTTGGCGTGTGAGTTATTTTGAGACCCTGTGGGCTCACTACCTCTCCCTCAAAGAATTTAAATTTGGGGCCTCGCCCGTAATAAGAGTTATCACCAGAGATAACTTTATATGACCAATCGGTGGGGCAGGAAAAACTCCTCATCAGGGAACATCTGCTCTTACCATCCTGCAATGACCTCCTGCCCCTGAAGGCCCCGGGGCTGACCTCATCCCTGGCTCAGAGTGTCCTCTAGGCGTCCCCTTTCTGTCTCGGAACCCCTGTGCGCGTGGGTCTCTCTCATGCACGCAGGGCTCCCATCCATGTGTATGCAATTAAATTTGGTCATTTTCTCTTGTTGCTCTAATCTGTCTCGTGGCGATTTAATTATTAGAGCAGCCAAAGGAGCCTGGGAGGGTAGAGGAACGTGGTCCTCCCCTCATGCATCACTTCTGCCTGCTTCTCTCTGCCAGATTCAGTCGCTGCCCTCGGGGCTGGCAGATGTGGGCCCTGCCGGGCAGCCACATCCCAGCCACGACTCTCAGGAGGCAAGGGGAACCCCGTCTGGTGGGCAGCTAGTTGCCTCTGCCACCGGATAGATTTAATTATTAGAGCAGCCGAAGGAGCCTGGGAGGGTAGAGGAACGTGGTCCTCCCGCCACATGCATCACTTCTGCCTGCTTCTCTCTGCCGGATTCAGTCACTGCCTTCGGGGCTGGCAGATGTGGGCCCTGCCGGGCAGCCACTTCCCAGCCACAACTCGCAGGAGGCAAGGGGAACCCGTCTGGTGGGCAGCTAGTTGCCTCTGCCACCGGATCAGTCCTTATTTCCAAACTCTTGATTGTCAGTGTGTATCTTACTTATCTTCTAAATGTCGCAGTTGTCTGCTAACACCTGGGTTTACAGACATCTCCCCAGTGACAACTGTCTACCTTCTAACTCTGTGAGAGCTGCTGGTTGTGGCTGCAGCACAGCTGGCAGTTGCAGACTCATGCATCCCTACCCTGCCCGTGGCCGCCCTGCCTTCTGTCCTAGACTCCAGCCTCACCCCTGAGGTGTGTGAAATCGCAGACCGACTTTGTGTCAGTGTATAAATGACCGATTTTAACTCCAAACGTTTGTTTGTTGGTCCCCAACTCTCCCCACTCTCCTTCCTCCGCGAGACTCACATGTTGGCTTTTGGAGTGGGTTTGGAGTGTTGTTGTTTTTTTGGTTTGGAGGGTGTGGGGCATTTTGAAAGGTAGAGAAAGGCATGCTTCCCAGATGCCCTCAGGCAACCTGGGAAATTCCTCAGATTCCTGCTTCCCGAGAGTCACAGCTGTTGACAGGGTGGACACGTGACACATCCCTAAATGCTGCACTGTGATTTTGTCCTGGCAACTTACACCTCACCTCCACACGCATCCACACACACACCACCCACAACACATGTTCACATACACACACACACACACACAACATAGAATGCAAACACACATCACACCACACACACACATCCGACACCACACACACAAAACACATCGCACACACACACACCACAGTCAAAGGTCTGCTTTGGGGGGGGGGGGACACCTGGTAATTTAATTTATTTATTTATTTATTTATTTATTTATGGGTTTTTTAAATTGATTTCAGAGAGGAAGGGAGAGGGAGAGAGAGAGATAGGAACATCAGCGGTGAAAGAGAATCATTGATCAGCTGCCTTCTGCACTCCCCACACGGGGGATGGAGCCTGCAACCTGGGCATGTGCCCTGACCAGGAATCGAACGGTGACCTCCTGGTTCATAGGTTGATGCTCAATCACTGAGCCACGCCGGCCGGGCTGGTCACTTATTTTTGTCTGATAGGATAAGCCTCACAGCCATGTAAGTGGGGAGTTGTGGGGAGGCAAATTAGTCTTGAGAATTAATCTAAGTCACAGCTGTTTGTCAGGGACATGCCTTAGGCTCGGTTCAAGGTGGACAGAATGACCCTTTCTGGGCCAGAACTAAAAACCACTGGATGGTGGAATAATAGCAGAGACTGGCAAACTGTGGCCCAAACATCTGGCTCACCACCTGTGTTTGTAAATAAAGTTTTATTGGCACACTGCCATGCTAAATTACTTATGAATTGTCTGTGGCTGTTTTTGCATAGTTGCGTAGTTGTGATAGAGATTCTATCTTATCTGTCTTCTAAATGTCACAGTTGTCTGCTAATGCCTGGGTTTACAGACATCTCCCCAGTGATAACTGTCTACCTTCTAACTCTGTGAGAGCTGCTGGTTGTGGCTGCAGCATAGCTGGCATTGCAGACTCATGCATCCCTTCCCTGCCCGTGGCCGCCCTGCCTTCTGTCCTAGACTCCAGCCTCACCCATGAGGTGTGTGAAATCGCAGACCGACTTTGTGTCAGTGTATAAATGACCGATTTTAACTCTAAACATTTGTTTGTTGGTCCCCAACTCTCCCCACTCTCCTTCCTCCGCGAGACTCACATGTTGGCTTTTGGAGTGGGTTTGGAGTGTTGTTGTTTTTTTGGTTTGGACGAGTATTGAATAGATATGTTTATTATTTTTAGTGGTTATTAGATATTACAACATGCAGCCTTAACTGATAACAGTCTTCCTTGAGTTAATGTTGTGCCACTTCACAGACGAGATACAAATAGAACTGAACTTACAACAAGATCCCCTCCTGGCCCAGCTGGCGTGGCTCAGTGGTTGAGCATCGACCTATGAACCAGAAGGTCTCGGTTTGATTCCCAGTCAGGGCACATGCCCGGGCTGCGGGCTCAATCCCCAGTGTGGGGCGTGCAGAAGGCAGCCGATCAATGATTCTCAGCACTGATGTTTCTATCTCTCCCTCTCCCTTTATTTTTGAAATCAATAGATAGATAGATAGATAGATAGATAGATACCAAATACTTCCATCACTAATAGGATCTCTCCTGCTGAGCCCAGCCCTGAGCCCCAAAAACCACTAATCTTTTCTTCATCTCTATAAATGTGTCATTTCAAGAATGTCATATAAACGGAATCATATGGGATGTAACCTTTGGGATTGGCTTTTCTTACTCAACACAATTCCCTTGAAATTCATCCAAGCTGTTACATTTATCAATAGTTCATTCCGTTTTATTACTGAGGTGTATCCAGGGTATGCACATGCTGTAGTTTGTACAGCAGTGGTTCCACCCTTTAAAGCACAGCTCAGTGGTTTCCAGTTCGGGGCTATTGTCAATGAAGCTGCTGTGAACATGCGTGTGCGCGTTTTGTGTAAACATAGGTTTTTATTTCTCTGGGATAAATGCCAACAGTGCGAATCCTGGGTCATGTGATAATTGTATGTTTACTGGCATGCTTTTGAGTTCGCCGATTCTTTCTTCTCCTGTGTCCAGTCTACTGTTGAACTTACGCAATGAATTCTTCAATTCAGATACTCTATACTTTGATTGAAGTTTTTCCATTGGTTTTTTTAAAGTTTTTATTTTTCTGTTGAATTACTCCATATTTTACTAGATTTGTCTATCCTTTTCTATAAATTCCTTATCATATTTAAATAGTTATTTTTTAAATCCCTTGACTGCTGATCCCAACATGTGGGTTATCTGTGGGTTTGCTTCTGTTTTTTTGCCTCTTTTTCTCTAATCTCATGGCACCCAGAAACCCTGGTTAAGGTCAACAACATCATGTTCTCCACCCCAAACACGAAGAGGAACTGCTGACCGAGCCCTGGAGCCCTTTATGGTTTTCAGAGTGAAGTCATGTGTCACCTCTCACTTGGGAATGTGGGAATTGCCAGCTCGTGGAGGCGCCCATAATGGGGACACATGGTTAGTGGGGGGACGTGGATTACAGGCTGGGCTCAGTGTGAGCCCCTGCGGCAGGCTCCTGGGGATGCAGTGTGCTCCTCCCTCGAGAGAACTTGTGTCTCTGCACAAGGGGACAGAATAACGATCCCGATTATGGACAGGCATTGGCATAGATCAGCGATGGGGAAACTTTTTTCTCCCAAGGGCCATTTGGACATTTATAACATTATTCGTGGGCCATACAAAGTCATCAACTTAAAAGTTAGCCCTAGCCGGTTTGGCTCTGTGAATAGAGGGTCAGCCCATGGACTGAAGGGTCCCAAGTTTGATTCCAGTCAAGCACATGTACCTGAGTTGCAGGCTCAACCCCCAGGCCTGGTCCCAGTGGGTTCGGGCGGGTACAGGAGGCAACCAATCGACTTTTCTTTCTCACATCGATGTTTCTCTCTCTGTCTCTCCCCCTCCCTTCTACTCTCTCTTAAAAAAAAAAAAAATCAGTGGGAAAATATCCTTTGGTTAGGATTAACAACAACAATAAAAAATTAGCCTGCTATGTTTGGTCAAACACTTCATTAACTCACCCCTAATGCCTTGGCAGGGCCAGACCAAAGGATTTCACAGGCCTTATATGGCAGTGAGCCTGAGGCCCCACCCCTGGCCCAGACTGTGAGTAAGACTGACCTTGGCCTCTAGGCAATAAACACTGGGGCTGTTTGTGGCACTCCCGTCAGTTCCAGCTGTGTCCACTGAGTCCTCTGAGAAGCACAGGCCGAGATGAGGCAGGTGTGCAGGAGGTCTATTGGAGAAAGTGCCTGTGCAGGAGGGGGTGGCGGGGAGAGCCCTCAGACTGAGATGTAGGTCTACCCCTGGGAAGGAGAGAAGGAAGGAAGGTCTTAGACAGTTGTCTAAAGCAGCGCCCTGATCAAGGTGCCGGTCAGGGAGCCCCCACATCGCAGGACCGGCCTGCCTTAGTGTCCCCGCCACGGTCAGCGTAGGCTGGGAGCAGCCGTGGGAGGTGTGGCCTCAGCACACCTGGGTTTGGAGGGTGACATCCGGGCATCAGGCAGTTGTCCTCTGATCACAAGGCCCTCGGGGGCCCAGCGGGCCAGTGGTCCTTTCCCAGTCCTGTCTCTGCTCAGCCCCTGTGGGTAGGAAGCCTGGGGCCTGAGGAACCCCAGCCAGGTCAGTTCTCAAGTAGGTGGGGCTGCAGGAGGGAGGCAGGAGTCCCCACCCGGGCCTCCCTGGAAGGTCACCCAGGACGGCCAGCCCACAGGGGTTTCAGTGACACTTGAACGTCGATGAGGGTTGGATGTCTTTAGAGCAGTGGTTCTCAACCTTCTGGCCCTTTACAGTTCCTCATGTTGTGACCCAACCATACAATTATTTTCGTTGCTACTTCATAACTGTAATGTTGCTACTGTTATGAATCGTAATGTAAATATCTGATATGCAGGATGGTCTTAGGCGACCCCTGTGAAAGGGTCATTCGACCGCCAAAGGGGTCGCGACCCACAGGTTGAGAACCGCTGCGTTAGAGGCAATCAAACCATGAAATCATTTCAACACAAAAGGCCCATTTATTTTGACAAGAAAAAAATAGTGGCTCCAACCAGCCTTCAGATGTGGCCGCACCCCTTGGCTGCCTGCTGTGTCTACGGCCCGTCCACCGTCCACTGGGCAGAGCAAATCCTTTCCACCTTTTTTATATACGTAGGATGGAGATTAGAGTATTCCCTACTTCTCAGCATTTCCCCTTTTGAGCTCCCAGTAGACTGGCTGAGCCAAACTGAGGAGCTTGACACACAGCATTGGCCTCAGGGCTACGTTTTATCTCCTAAATGGTTGAGGCTTAAAGAAGAAGAGCCGGTGGGAAGGCGGTGGGAAGGCAGCAGCAGTTGTGAAATCAGGGACAAAAATACACAGGGCAGCCTTCCTTCCTGCCCGCAGGGCTCCCTCTCTCCAGGTGGTGGCCCTCTCCCAGGTGTGGGAACCTCACACCCATGTCTTCGGGTCAGGTTCTCCAGCCCCTGAGGTGTCCTCAGGCCGCCCTCAAGCCCTGAGGTGCCTCTTTCACAGTTCACACCCCAACCATGTTGACTAATGGAAATGTCACAGGCACTTTTTTTCTGTTTGAGGTTGCTTTATACAGGCAGCACAGATGTTCCCTCTGACATCTTTATCACCCAACAAAACTAGGTCCAGCCCCCCATCCCAGGAGACTGGGGAAGTCGCACCCTCTCCCCGCCCTGAAACTGCCCGGCCCATGACCTCCAGTCTGCAAAGCCCACGGACACATACGTCACATCCTCCTCTCACATACGTCGCGCGTAGAGGGTGGTGCTGGGCACAGCGGGTGCTGAGCACAGTGGGTGCTGTGACGTGTGGGCGACCACGGCTGTTCTTGTTCTTGCTATGACCCATCAGCGGCCTGAAACGCTGCCCGCAGTGGGATGGGAACCAGGGGAAAGCAAGGCGGACATCCTCGGTGTAGGTGAGGTCCAGACAGCCCATCATTTCTGCAGCCTGGTGGGATTCTCGAGACTACACGTGCCTCGTGGGTGTGCGGCTCGCACAGGTGTGAACGGGTTTCTAAGCTGTCCATTGCCAAGGTGTAATAGCCAAAGTGTGGACACAGAGACCGTGAGCGGGAGACTGGTTACAAACTGCATGACTCACCCGAAATGTTAGCGAAGGCAGCACATTTGAAATGGTGTGCAAAGATTTCCAAGGGGCAGTGCAGTCTTACGTTCTGTGTTAAAGCGTACACACACACACACACACCACACACACACACACACACACACACACACACACACACACACACGGCCCTACTGGTAGATGGTTTGGCTCAGCTGGTTGAGGTCAACTAGGAACCAGGAGTTCTCAGTTTGATTCCTGGTCAGGGCACATGCCCAGGTTGTGGGCTCGATCCCCAATGTGGGGCATGCAGGAGGCAGCCAATCAATGGTTCTCTCTCATCACTGATGTTTCTATTTCTCCCTCTCCCTTCCTCTCTGAAATCTATTAAAACACACAAAGAATTCACATGCCTGTGCACTTTGGTGATACAATGGTGTTGTCTCTGACGGGGTCACTGGTTGCCTGAGGCTCAAAGGTGGGAGACATATTCCTTTCTCCCTGTGCTTGTTTGCACCTTGGAATTTGAAGCCATATACATGTCTTGCTTATTTAGAAAAAAAGAGTAAGCAGACAGCAGCTGATTCAGAAATCAGTACTCCAGTCCCTGTGTCCCCGGAGGGGCTGGGCGGGGCCAGCGGGCAGCCCCCTACCCCCCACCGTGGGTGTGCGGGGAGCCACGTGGGGCCTGTGGCTAGGCACATGCCTCCACCTGGGTCTTCCTGTGTGGCGGAGGCCGCAGCAGGGCGGAGGCTGGGGAGAGTAGGCACAGCTGCCTGGCACAGGCGGCACACGCAGGGCAAGGTCACGGCCCTGGTATCTGGGTCTGGCTGGGCAGCTTTTCAGGGCAGGCAGACAGGACACAAAGCCTCACTATGAGCATCAGGAAAGGCCCTCCATCGAAGCTGCTTGCCACCATTCACGGGGCAATTCACAGTGGAACTCAGGGCAGAGCAGCCCAAGGCTCAGGAAGCAGATTTGGAGGGGCCACGGTTTCCTGGCCCGCTCCAGGCATCAGTGGGGTGGAAAGAGCCCAGAGGAACCTGGGTTCTTAATTCTTCATCCATCTGCACAGCTGAAGTATAAAGATCCTTTTCAGAGCTCTCCCTGAGCTGACTCTCCAGCCGCAGGACACACACAGCATTGTGTGCAAGGACATTCCCCATCGCCAGCAAAAGGGACAGAAAGGCCCTTTCAGTTAACTGCAAAATAAGCAGGGCTCTGTCCAGAGACAAGGCCCCTGCCTCATGGGCTCCTGGTAACTCACAGGCTGTTTGAGCACAGTTTACTGCCTACGGTCTATTGCATTAGGGTTTTTCAAATGCCCTTTGGTCAACAATTCTTTATGCACACCTATATGCAAAACACACTAGTATATGTCTACGTGCAAACAGCTATTTTTCAAATATCCTTTATACATTCAAATGTACAGGTATACATATTTATATGTAGTCATCCTCTTGACTAGCTATATAGAATATCTATGAGGTAGATAGAATATTTAGTACAAGGTAACAAGATCTACAGGTTGGCAGTGACATACAAAGCTATTAGAGTAGTAACATAGCTTTGTATCCTTTCTTTGTTTCTCCGAATCTGAGTCATCCTTCAGTCCAGTTAATTCTTTCCACTTACAGATGGCAACACTTGTACTCCCTTTTCTGCTGTGACTCATTCATTCATTTACCAAGCATTTTGAGGGGCCTGCCATGTGCCAAGTGCTGTTCTAGGTTCCTGGGGTATAGCAACGAACAGTGTGGTCGGCGATCCATGGCCAGAGGCTTGCATTCTAGTGAGGAGACAGATGTCCACTGTAGTGTCAGAGGAGGACAGGGATGGAGAGAGGGGACTTTCTGGAGAGGTGACCTTTGAGTGCAAATCTGAAGGTTATAAGCCAGGGAGTCCCATGGATATCAAGGTTGTAGGCAGGAGAAGTGGCAACTCCCTTGCTCACTCTAGTTACATTGCATTCATTGGCAAAAGCCAGCCCTGGTCAGACCTAACTCACCACCCACCACATACCCACATCTGTGGAAAACCATGCCACCGTGCTGGCTGGCCTCATTGAAATTTATGCCCAGAATCTCGGTGGAGGGTGGGAACAAGTGGGAGCCTTCATGCTTCCATCACACATGCTTTCTAGGCAGTGGGCTCTTAGTCCCCAGATGGCCAAGCCCCACCAGCAACTCTCCTGGTTTCATTTTCAACTGACGCCTTCCCATTTCCCTCAGTAATCCGAAGAGCCACCGACCGCTCCAAGATTCCAACACCTATGTACTTACCTACTTCATTCTTGCCCAAATCCTTCCTCCTGCACTCCAGGCAGGCCAAGATGGGCCTGGAGGCAGGAGGGGACCAAAGAGTTGGCAGCTGCCCAACTAGGATGCAAAGAGAAGGCTGACTTGCAGGAGGCCCTGGCTGGAGCATGTGGCTGCTGCACAGGCTTACCAGCTGTCAGCACTGGACGCACGGGAAGCTGGCCCTGGGCTTGCAGACTTTGTGTCCCCAGTGCTTTGTCAGCTCCACCCCCAGAACTCGGGGTTCAGGCGAAGTGGGCCACAGCCTTCCACTCCGATAGATGTCCTCACTGCCGCCGTGCTCGGAGGAAGCATGGCACTCGGGCTCTAGACCGGTGGTTCCCAAGTGTGGCTCCTGAGCCAGCAGCATCGGCACCACCGGGCAACTTGTTAGGAATGCACATTCCTGGGTCCCCCCTAGAGCTGCTGAGTCGGAAACTCTGGGGGTGGGTCCCAGCCACAGGTGTTTCCATGTGCTCCCCAAGGAATCCTAAGGCATTTGGGAACCACAGACCCGGACCAGTTCCAGGCGATACTGACGCTGCTGGTTCCAGGACCCACTTTGAGAACCACTGTTCTAGAAATGTTGTCAGCAAATTACTCAGTTTATGAGTCATCGTGTTGTTCATTAACAAGTATTACTGAATCCCTAAGGCTGTAATAATGTTTAATAATAATTACCTCTGAGTAAGGGGATTGCGGGCAACTTTTAAAAAAGTATCTCTATTGTTCAAAGTTGTTATAAACATGGATTGCTTTTGTAGATAAAAATGAAAAGAATTTAAAATAAGAATATCTTATTCTAGTATACTTCTTTACAGCTGTGCTCCTCAGACTTAATTGTACAAATAAACCACTCAGCCTCCAGGAAGAGGTGACTGAGCAGAGATGGGAAGGGTGAGCACTGAGAAGTTCAAGGTGAGGCCCTGTACACACCAGGAAGCTCGGGCAGCCAGAGAACGGGGTGGAAAGGCCCCCACGCCAGTTCCAGGGAACCGTGCAGGAAGGCGGTGCAGGGAGTCAGTGTCAGTCTAGGTCCAGGGTCAGCATGGAGGGTGTGGACACAAAAGGGTTCTATGGAAAGTAATCTCCAAGGGTGATCTGATCATAAATTCTCAGCGAGGCACGTCATGGAGGGCAGTCATGCACCAGGCGTGTAACCTCTTTAGTAAAAGGCTTCTCTTTGCCGTAAGCAAGCCCGTCCCTTGTCTCTGTGCACCCCTCCTAGAGCGAGATCAACCTCAAGAGAGGATGTGATATTTGTTTTTTAAATATTTCTATTGATTTCAGAGAGGAAGAGAGGGAGGGAGGGAGAGAGAGATAGAAACATCAATGATGAGAGAACCATTGATCGGCTGCCTCCTGCACGCCCCACCCTGGAGATCAAGCCCGCAGCCCCGGCATGTGCCCTGACTGGGAATGGAACCGTGACCTCTGGGTTCATAGGTCAACATTGGACCTCTGAGCCACGCCAGCCTGGCAGGACAGCACCCGATCTTAACTGTCCTGTAACCCATCCTCGCCCTGCTTCCTCCCACCTTCAGGTCATCTTCCTTAGGTTTCCTCCCGAATTCCAAATGCATAAAAGAAGCTGCAAACTGTCATTTTCTTGGAAGCATTTGTCTGTTAAAATCCCGCCTCCAGGCGTATCCTCTATTTGACTCCAGTTAATTTTTATAAACATTCTCCACAGGTTTGGATGGTCTTAGTTGACGAGGGTTTAAGCAGGGAAGTGACTGGCCTGGCATTTGCCTTGGGATCACTCTGAGCTGCTGTGCAGAAAATGAAACCTCTTACCTGGGAGGTGGTGCCGGGGCGCTCAGGAGTCAGTGCCCCCCCCCCCCGCCCCTGGGCCCCCAGTGGATCTACTTGGGGGTCAGGAATACCCACAGGAATAAGGAGCCACCAGGGCCCGCGTTTTTATTGCTGCTCTGAGGACCTCAAACCCGCGCTCCAGGAACATGACTTTTTCCTTTTCAGAGGACTTGGCTCCATCAGGCTTTGCTGGTTACCGCGGCTTCTTGGACACGTCCCCCTCTGCGCCTTAGTCCCCCCACCTGTCCAAGAGGACGTCGGGCCAGCCCTCGGGTGACACGCCGGGACTCCGCTCCTGCACTTCGGACAAGTTGGGCAGCGGGCACTGCCCGGTCAGAGGAAGCGTCCCGGGGCACACGCGGGGTGGGCTTCCTGCCCGGGA